GCTTGACAAGCGGTGCATCGGTGCGTGCCAGGGATCCGAACGTGCAAACCCTGGGCTGCCGAAGCAGAGCACACGCACTTAACTGCTGCGCCACCGGGCCAGCCCCGAGAGATCAGTTCATTAGTCAAGAGAGAACTGTCAGTATATACAGCTGTGTGCAAAGCAAAAACATGAGTTGGGGGAACTGCATTCCAACATGGAGTGATTTTGGGGACCAGGAGGATGGACCAAGATGGTGGAAGATAAAGCTAAAAAGATTGGAAAAGACAGATGATGAAGCACGTGGGAGCTACTGAAGGGTTTGAAATAGGAGAGCTATCTGGCCACATTTACTTTTAGGGTACATAACTGTGGCAGAAAAATGGAGGATTGGGGTCAGCATGGCAAGACTGGAAGGAGGAAATGCCTTGGGTGACTATTAGTCGTTTTTATTTTTAAGTAAGTCATAGATGTTCTATAATGAGCATGTATTAATTTTGTAACACAAGAAAATGCATAAGCTCTTACTATGTAAGAAATGTACTTTTGGAATAGTTTTCTCTATGATGTAGTCCCGCTTTAATAAAATCTAAACTTAAAATCCCAATTAGAGAATCATTGTTCATTTGACACTTGACCTCTTTGCTCAACAAAATCTTCATCACAGATTTTCAGTGAATAATCATCCTTTTCTACCACATGTTACCTACCATTTAAGGTAGGGAACACATCAATTCTATAGAGCAAATTAGAATGAAAACTATAACCATATTATCTACAAAACTTACTCTGCCAATTTTATAGCTCCTCAGCCCTCCACAAGTCACAAAAATATTCACACCTAAAGTTTTAAGTAGAGTGATAGCCTGAAGCAGTAAGCCCCAGAAAATTGGTCATGAAAATGGCTTATAAAGGAAAGCTTGACAGACTAATTATAGTCTCACTTTGCCTGTCTCCAACTCTATTTCTTTAACAGTTATTCAGTCACAGGGCACAGGTTTTTGTTTTGGTTCAGTTTTTCAGTCATTTGAACTTTTTAGTAAAGTAGTTTTAGGAATTAATTGGACAAATATTCAGCTATAAAATAAGAATAAAATTTAATAAGCAACTTTACTATCATTTTGCCCCACCATGAATATGTTAGTTATTGGAATAACTTTTAAATTTAGTGGAAATAAAGTTTTAAATCCAACTTGACGCTGTGTTCTCTGCTATTGTCATTTATTTTATACTGGCCATGTAAAATGATGTTCTCTCAGTTTACCTGTGCACACAGGATTACATAAAATTTAATTTTAACATCCACTTAATGTGAAGTACTCTTACTGAACTATAGTGACCTTTTAAATATATTTAAACTGTATTAGTAAAACATAAATAATGGGCAAATCGATTTCTGTAAACCAGACTGAGGAAACTGGACACCATTGAAAATACCCTTTAAAGTACTAAAAAAAAGTTATGTACACTATATATAACTATTTCTAATTATAATTATTTTGAATAAATGCAAATTTAACTACCTTCAAATAGGCATACTTTCTGACATGGGAAATTGGGATTCCATAGGCTGTTGCTGGATGGTAAATTCAGTATAAATAACAATGGAGAAACCACATATGGTAAGCCTGGGATTCAGAAATTGGCTTTAAGATTCTCAAATAAATAAAGACCTTCTTTGAAGGCACACAGATGTATTAATTTTTAATTTGTTTCTTTTTGATCTCTTAATTACTGAAAAAGATTTATTGGTTAATTTTAGGAAGGCAAGTGTTTTAAAAGTTTTGCCAAATACTGTCTTCTTTAAATGACTGTATGGTAATGAAAAGTTAAGAGGAGAGCCAAATTAGATTGAATAATTGTTCAGTCATGTGGGTCAGGCTGGTTGCATAGCCTGGTTGTTAGACTGATTGCTCAAATTACATTGCCTGGGGTCCTGCACTTGGTTGGCTGTCTTCTCAGATCTTAACAAGGTTCTGGGAATTTCTTTTTCTGACAAAGTTTGCTTTGTGTTTTTCCCCTCCCCACCCCCACCTCCAGGATGCTTCATCTGCAGACATTAGAAAAGCATATCGTAAGCTTTCACTAACTTTGCATCCAGACAAGAATAAAGATGAGAATGCAGAAACTCAATTTAGACAAGTAAGTGAACTATGCTGTTATTACATATATTTTGTGACAAATTTATAAATAAATGTTTATAGTAGAAATAGTAACTTATATGTAGAATATTTCCATTTGAAAATGAGGTAGTGGTTTGGAAATATAATGTATATATGTTTATTCAATTTTTTACAAAATATGTTTTTATCAACACTTTATGTTAGAATCTCTTAAGTTTTTGGAGGGTCATAGTTGTCATATTTTTTTGGTCTAAATTACAGCTTTTGCTTTTAAAAAGTACATTTTAAGATAATTATTATTTTTGCACCTTTCACAAAGATTTGTTTTGATATCAAGCGTTTTTTAACCCGTACGGTCCTACTAAAAACACAAAATGTTACTTATAATTAAGATTTTATCTGTTCATTGTGTGTATGAGCACATAGGGTTTTCGCATTTGCGTTGTAATGCATTCACCTTCCTAAGTGATTTCTTGTAATTGAGAGTGTTTTTATTTTAAAGTAATGCTTCTGTTTTAGTTGGTGGCCATTTATGAAGTTTTAAAGGATGATGAACGAAGGCAGAGGTGAGTGTTCATTTCTGCTTTTGAATTAAGATGTTATAGTTTGATGTCTCCATTTATAAAGGAAAGAATTGTCTCATTAAACATTTTATTTATTATAAATTCTTATTTTATTTTTGTTCCTTCCAAGAAATGCGATGTTTTTAAAATGTGTGTTTAGAGCAGAGTTAATTTCTATTGACAATATTCACTGGGTTGATTCAATACTTATAGACTTCAGGATCATGAGTCATAACGCTAGCAAGACGTGGCTCCATTAAATAAGATTTTTAACATGAGTGTCTGCCCTGGGAAATACAAATACCACTTGACTTCAAACAAATGCCCATTCATTTTTGATATATCTGTAATAGCTCCTATCTGTGCTTGCTGGTCTTTTTTTTTTTTTTTTTTTCTATTCCTTAAATGTTTTGGAATTAGGTATTTTGTGATATTCAAGTTATTACCATTTCTTGATGTTTCCTCACTCTCAAAATAATAAACCCAATTTGTGAGAGAACAGACTTGTATAAGTCTAGAAGATAAGAGTGGAAGGAAAATATTTGCTTCTTTCTCCTGTTTCTTTTGCCTCCTTCCCTTCCCTTACTCTGCTCCCGTGATTCTGTGTTTAGGGTTAAACTTGAAAGTGGAGGTAGCCCCCTCCCTCTGAATCTTCTCAGTGCCCCTTTCAGAGGAGTAGTAATGTATTTATACCGTGGTTTATAGTGCAGTGACTTAAGAGATTGCAGAGAGGCCCTTTCCTCTACTGCTTCAGAATGTGTGGAATGTAGGCACTACTGCAGTGGGCTTCAAAATGTTAAGTCAGACCCACAGTAAGAAAATGCATTTTGCTTCATGCCTCAGGACAGACACACATACACAATGAAACCAAAAATTTCACTGAACACCTTCTTATTGTATGTGAAACAGACTGATATTTTCTATTCTAGGCTGGTCTAGAGTAGTCTTTTTTTTTTAAACAACACTGGTTGGATATTTGAGATTTTAGGCTAAAGCCAGCCTTAAATATCTATATCTCTCTATGGGAGCTAATATGTATTAAAGACAGCCCCAGAATTATGCTATGTGACATTCTGAATCTTTCTTCAAATGTGTTATCTGGAATTATGCTATGTCCTGAAATGTTAGCTACCACTCCTGGTTCTTGTCTTAACTCTTTAATTTGAATACCTCAGTTTGTCAGATTGCAAAGCAAGGAGTCAGGATAGTCTCTTGAAGTGTTCTTTGCTTTATAACAAGGGCTGGCATTGGTCCAGATACCAAAGCAGACATTCCTCTAGTTTGAGATAATCCATAGTGTTGAAAGAATCCTAGAAGTGTGTTGAAAGAAGAGTTGGTCATTCTCTGCATTTTCTAGTTGGTTTCTCTCACTGAGTCCCTAGTTTTGTTCACACATCAAGAATGTGTCTGTAAAGATAGCTTTATTTAGTCTCCCTACATCTTTGTATCAGATTTTGTCTTTTTGTTTGTTGTTACCTTAAAAGTGAGTAAACTTGGAAACAATTTTTCAATCACTGGAATTATTTATATCTTTTCAGAACAAATCACTTCTTAGGTATAAATTGTTTCTTCATTAACATAGACTCATCTAACATTTTCTTTTTAGGATTAGTTTCCTTTGCATTTATTTCAGTGTTAGTAGGAAAAATGGATGTGGCAGTTACACAAACAGCTGTAGTATTTAGACCCCTTGAGGCACAAGTAACTTTGGTAACTGGTTTTCCTTGAGGCAAAAGTCTTAACTAATCAAGCAGAGGATCACTCCTCTAAAGTCTGCGCCTGAGGCCAGGTGACCTAGGAGCCTTTAAACATATAGGAGAAGTGCACTTCTACAGACAATTACCTGGTGTTTATATAAATCCTTTGGGGAGGGAGGAGAGCATAGTTTTATCTTCTAAAAGAAGATTATCTCATACTGGTATTAAAAAATGCTCTTTGGGATCACAATTATTTATTATAAATATTCATTAAATCAGTGCTTTTCAATGTGTAAGTAACCTTCCAGGAATTTGCAGTTTGGAAAATTGTCGTAGACATATTTTCCCATTTATTTCCCTTACAAATAATTGTTTTCACTGAAATCAAGTGCATTCTTTTAAATTTTGGTAGAAAGGGGAATAGCAGTTAAATAGATAAAATAGCAAACTGGATAACCTTTTTATTTTTATTTTTTTAAGGAAAAAGCAAATTTTATATTATTTTTTAAACAGCCTTTTTAAGGTATAATTTGCATACCATAAAAGTCACCTTTTTAAGTGTACAATTCAGTGATTTTTAGTAAAATTACAGAGTTGTGCTAACCACCACAATCTAGTTTTAGAATGTTTCCATCACTTCAAAATATTCCCTTAAGCCCATTTGCAAGCAATCTCCACTCTGACCCTGGCCCCAGGCAATTACTCATCTCTTTTCTGTGTCTATAAATCCATCTTTTCCAGACATTTCATATTAATGAAATCATGTAATGTATAGTCTTTTGCATCTGCTTCTTTCTATTATTGTAATGTTTCTGAGGTACATTCATACTGTAGCATGTACCAGTAGTTCATTCTTCTTTATTGCTGAATAGTATTCCATATACCAGTTTTGTTTCTCCATTCACCAACTGATAGACAGTTAGGTTGTTTCCACTTTTTGGCTTTGATGAACAATGCTGCTATGAATATTCACATTCAAGTCTTTGCATGAACAGATGTTTTTCATTTCTTTTGGGTGGATTCCTGAGAGTGCAATTGTGAATAAACTTTTAAGCCTTCGTTCTTCCCAAAGGTATAGGCTATAGCATGAAAATAACAAGTTTTCCTGGTTAGTGTAAGGAAGCATAGCATAGCCTTTTCTAAACTCTGTAAATAACTAGCTTATTATGGGGAATAGCAGCTCAGCTATGTTCTGACATAAATTTCTAAACAAATGCCATGAGTGTTAGCTGAAATAAAGGATAAGTAGATACCAATCATTGCATATATGCACTAGATTGTGCTTTAGTAATATTAGCACATTTACTTTTGTTTAGATTCTATTGTAAATTTTTAACCAGTGTTCTTTTGCTAACTCAATTGCGCAACTTTAAATTTGTTTTTTGGGTTTTTTTTTTCCTCTATTTTATGGCACTGTATTCATAAAAATTGAATGTCTTTTTTCAGTTTACTAAATAAAATCATGTTTTATTTACAAATCCAATGAAAAATATAGTTATTTCAGCCTTAATCTGCTAAACTTTTACAAATCCATTACCTAGTTATCATAAACTTGATTACAGGTGTGTTTGAATAAAAATAAACCTGAGAATAAGGAATCTATCTTAGTACCTTCCCTATTTAGGAGATATGACACCTATTATGTACAGTCTATAAAGTGCTGTGTACCACATGTTTTAGCATATATATATATTTTATAAAGGAGAGTAAGATCAATTAATTTACAGTTGTTTCCTGTTTATGTTTTTTGTACAATTTATTTTTACTCTAAGTTTCAAAATGTGACCTAATAATGGATGTTGTTGTTATTGCTTTAAGCTAAAAAGTCAAACTTTGCATGATGGGAAATTCACAATTTAGGCAAATGCTAGAATTATTTAAATATTTGTTTTCATAATATACACATATTCTATTTTAGTTTCATAGTTACTATTTTATATTTCAAAATATACTAGTATTTTAAATTTACATAATTTTTTTCTGTTGGTAATATATACGTTTTAGATTTATTTGCCTTCCAATGTTTATATTAGGCTAAAGATGTTAGATGAATTGCAGATTATGGAATGGAACTCACTCATGATTATGTAACCATTATTTTATGTTCGTGTACATTTTAAGAAAATCAAAGTAAACATATATTAGGTCATACGTTGGATGTGTGGAATTGATCAATTAATGTTTTAATTTCCAAGATAATACCTTTATAGTTCCATATCATTTTTTGCATTAGGTATATTTTTATCATAGAGATTTACTTTTGTGTCTTATAATATTCATGCATGTGTGCATTCTTAATCTGGTTTTAACAAATTGTTAAGAGCAGTTTGTATGAGCTCAGTTACAGAACATTTTAACAGTGTTATGTGTTAAATATAGAAAAAGCATAACATAGTGATATTTTAAGTTTTATGTGTTGTCAACATAACATTTTTTAAAAATTACGTATGAATATAGTATCTGTGTATATTTTAAGAAATATCGTTATTTTTTCAGTGTTTCAGGAAAGCAGTGATTTATCTTTTAACAGCATATATTTTAAAAAGTGAACTATAATATAAGCTATCTTCCCTTAAAATGCCAGTTGTGTGAGCCATAATGTTCATTGATAGTAAAATCAATAGAGCATTGATTGTAAGCTTAATCCCTGGAGACCGTTGTTTCGAGTGGCAGACATAGCCCCGTAAATATCTAGTTCTGTTTAATGTGTTCAGGGCGTGAGGTTTTGCTATCTTGAATTTGGCTGTGCACTAAATATAATTTATATGTGGGGCAGAAAATGGTAGCTATTAACAGATACATAGCATTTCAACAATGATGGTGATAAAATATTTGGTATGAGAGTCATAGCTATGAGTTCAGCTGTGTTTTCTTCCAATACAGTTTAGATCTAAAACAAATTCAGTACTTAATAATGCTCTTAGAGAATTGTTGCCACTTTCTTAAATGTTCTTTATTAATAACTACACTTTTTACGTGAAGTTATTTCATCGGAGAGATTAGCTAAAAATAATGATTTTTATATTCACCTTTTATTTCCCTCAACAAATCTGAAGTGAATGTAGATTTAGAATAAATTCAGGACTTGACATTCATTGGACTTCATTCAAATGTTGTAATCTTGTGTTATAGCACTTGAAACCTTTTTCCCAATCCACTTCTAATTTAAAATGAGTCAGTTTTTACAAAGATTTAAGCATAAATTTTTGAAGACAGGAATGATAGCTTTTGAGGAAATCATATTATTATATCTTGATATTAATGTTCAAGAATTGCTATCAATATTGAAAAAGGAGAATCTTTAACATCAGATTTTGTCTGGTCCAGCTACTACACAACCATATTTTAATTTGTAGACTCTTGTACACTACACAATTGCCATTTAAGAGTTTAGTACTAATTAATGTCCTTTGCTCTGAACATTGGATATTCTGATCTGCCAGTATTATTAATAATCTAAGTGGATCCAAAAGACAGGTTTTCTAGATTTGTTAATAAAATGTATTTTGAATATATAACCAATATTTTCTACTGAAAAAAGCAGTTGCCTGTAATAAATCTTCTGCTTTATTTTTTTTAGCATATCTCCAAGGTATCAATTTAATAACTATCAAAGTAGCTACTGCAGTTGTTGCATTTAAATTGATTTACATGTCAAGACTGGCAGTTTAGCAGCTGCGCTATTATTCCTAGATCGGTCAATTTACTTGAGAAAAACCTACTACTGAGTTCTACTGACCTGCCTGACAATATAGGCCCTATTTCTATTCCTGTAATTAGGCCTGCAACTAACTCAGAATATTTTTAATTAAAATATTTTGGTCAATGTGTTGCACCAAATTAGGCCTTTCAGTGAAGATTCAATTCTAGAAATAGTGTGATTAGAATATTTAATGAGTTGTGTTCAATTAAGATTAACAGGTTGTATGTTTTGAACATACAGTGTTTGTGTGTGACCATTTTGAGTTTTACAATCATAAAGGTTAGTCCTGATTTTTAACCATAAAAATATTTGCCTCAGTAACTGTCTGACAGGTAAATTTAAATTCCGTTGACATTTTACTCTCAAGAAAGCTGATTTAAAATGCATTACTAGGAAAGCTTTTATGTATTATGTTCTTCCCTTCCAGCAAAGCCAAAAATGAGGAAATTGCTACTTAAATGTTTACAAATAAACAGTTTTATTGAGAAATCTGACATAAACATTGGTTGTTTCAATATCTCTTTCTAATTTGGGAATTTTTGTTTTCTGAACAAATGTGAGCAATACAGAATTAAAAGGTACTCATTTTACAGGCTTTTACATCATTAAGATGCTTCAATAAAATAATATGTATAAATATATTTCAACCTTGAAGCATAGTAGAGGGGTGGAAATAAAAGCACTGACTAGAAAATTTATCCTGAATTTGATTCAATTAATATCTAATTCGTGATAGCAAATAGAGCTCTAATCTTGATTTTTCTCCCTTTGAGATCCTTTTGTTGCTGACTTCTGTGGTGGGATCTTGACTGCAGACTGTGACAGAGCGGTAAACTATGTGGCTCCTTTAGTTTAGGTGTCATTCCAGGAGTCACGTCATTGGGGTGCTATAAAAACACAGGATCTGGTATCCACAGTATATTACTGTGTACCTTTTAGAAGGTTGTCTGTGACAGGACCTACAGACAGCGTTTTCGATTTATAGGCCATTATAATGCTGATAATCTACATAAATGTTATCTATTTTGGAAAACTTCTTTTCTCTTTCCTCTTTTTAAATCGAGGTACAAATAAAGTGTTTTGTTTTTATTTTAAACTTCCCGTGAAAAACTGTTATATTTGCTATTGTAGGTATGATGATGTTCTGATCAATGGACTTCCAGATTGGCGACAGCCTGTATTCTACTACAGGCGGGTGAGAAAAATGAGCAATGCTGAGCTGGCATTACTCTTGTTCATTATTCTCACAGTGGGTCATTATGCTGTGGTTTGGTCAATCTACCTGGAAAAACAACTGGTAAGTATTGGTAATAAATCAAACGATCTAGCCTCCTTAATTTTATATGGAATTTCAGACATTTGTTTTTCAACTGATGAAAATTTCCATTTTTCTATATATGCTCCACATTCTAGTAGTTTTGTACTCAGTATTTAGAGTTTGATATGTTTCTAAGTCAAGAAGAACCCATGACATAAGAAAAACAAATTCTTTTTAAAAATGTGGCATTTGAGTTTGTTATAAAATTTTGTGAAGGCCCCAATATCTAGCTGAAAAGTAGAAGGTAGAGCCATGTTTTCTTAATTATTACTTTCCAAATGGAAATATTTTTTCTGTAAAGATGGTTTTAGAAATTTTTGTTTTACAGGCCCTTACGTAAAGAATGTTTACGTTCAAAGTTTTAAGTGAGAGTTGAAATGAGTATAATTTTGTAATTTCAGAGATCAGTTGGTTAAAAAATTATTACCTTTTTTTCATCTAATATACTACTACATAGTTTATTCTGCTATGGATTTTTATTTATATGCTAAAGATAAACATATCAGTATTCATGAATTACCATCTGTTTACTCATTCTTTTTGAAGTGACATTATTAAAGTTGGATGAATGAGAAAAAGTAAGTTGAATGCTTTCTCTTCTTAGAAAACTTTGATTGCTATGGAGATACACATGAGTGACAGTGCTGAACTTCATGTGTGTTTCAGGACTGGATACCATGGCAACAGTTATTGTTAGAGATTGATGATTTTACTTAATCATGTTGGCCCTTACATATATTTGCATAAATGTTTCTGTATAATGTTTACCCTTCGCAGAAGACTCTTGATAACATTTGAAGAGTACGTGTTAATGATAACCTGTAACCATAATTCTTTCCACATTCAGGATGAACTGCTCAGTAGAAAAAAGAGAGAAAGAAAAAAAAAGATAGGCAACAAGAGTGCGGATGTATCAAAACTTGGTGCTTCAGAAAAAAATGAAAGGTAGGAGCATATAAAAATATTTTATAATTTGAAACTGTTTTAAAATGTTTTTAATATGATTTGACTTCATACGTGTATCCATTTCAGATATGCTAACATTTATATCTGTAGTAGGCTTATAAAAGAATAATAATGTGCCATAATTTATGAGACAAATTCTAATCTTAAGCAAAAGTTCTACAAGTTTTTTTCCCCTTTTAAAATGTTAATATATATTTAAGTAATTAAACCCCCAAATTCTTCTAGTTTGAAATTTGTATACTGAACTTTAGAAACAAAGTATTCCTAGAAGAATCTATCACTTCGGTGTTTAGCTCAAGAGTGACAATATGTAGAGAGGCAGTGATGTACAGTACACTCAAAAACATACCACCATTTCTTCTATCGACTCATAGAAAGAAATAAAGGGTTTAAATGGTTCACACAGCAGGGCAGGAACTGGATCAATGTGAGATGGAGATCAGAGACTATTCTGCCTGTCTTCTGTTCTGGTGACATCAGTGAGTAATGCTTCGGTGAACTGCAAATGACATTAATTTTTATGTATTGGTTTGTTTATGCTACAGTCTTCATATCTGCTTGTCAGCACTTGGGAATACTCTGATGATGTTTAGTCTTTTATAGCTGAAGTAATCATAAGGTTTAAGAATTCATTTTGCAGAACTGATGAAAAGTCCGGGTTAGAAAGAGGGCTTTTGTTTCTTTATCTTTATAACTTGATTAGAAGCCTCCTTCCCCAAAATCTCAGCCTAGATTCTCTTACTTGCTATATATATTGCATTTGTTGTAACTACTGTATTTCCTGAGAGAATAAGTCAGATTAAGTGATAACTGTCATTCACTGAAAATTTTCTTCATTTTTTTTGTTGAAATAGCCATTCAAAACAGAAATTATCTATTATAAAAATATTTTGTTTTTCAACTTTCTCTCTGTATTTTGCTTCTTTGTTTTTTTGTTTTCCCTTTAGACTGCTGATGAAGCCACAATGGCATGATTTGCTTCCATGCAAGCTGGGGATTTGGTTTTGCCTTACACTAAAAGCATTGCCTCATCTAATCCAGGTAAAATGTACCTCTTTGATATAATATTAGATGCTTTCATTTTAATTATTCATGAAATAATTTATGCCCATGTCCGCTCTTTGAATGCTGGTATACAGTGGCTGTTTCGTAATGCTGATTGAACTAAATAGTGTTTTTATAAGTGTAAACCTAATTTAGAATAGTTCTAAAATTATTTAAGTATCTGTTCCTATAACTGTCTTTTACAGTGCTTTTAGAATACCTTAGAATTCCAAGACACTGGAATTAGGGCAGATATAAAAGCAATAAAAATTTAATCAGCTATTATCATTTAAGATGTATCCAGTAAAAAAGATCAGGACTCAAATAGCTTGTCACCCATTATTTTAATAGTATTTAAATACATAGCATAAAAAAAACTTTACATGAGCATCTGTATAATTATGCAAAATATATATTGCTTTCCATTTTATTTGCAACTTTAAGAGGAGTGAGGATATTTTGTCTTATATTGGTAATGAAAGTTTCTGTTGCTAGTTAGTCTTGATCAAACAATAGAATGTGGGTACATATCATGTTTATATGGCAGTTTCTCTTATTCTTTTATATTTAGCGTACCAAGGCATATTTTATTAAATTATTACTTTGCTAATATTAACTATTGCATCGGGTTAGAAAATTCTCAACACATAAGCATAATATTTGAAAGTATATATATAGTTTTGGTATACAAATTTTGAGGTTCTTTGAGGCTGCAATTTTGGGGAGGAAATGTTTCATTTCAGAAAATAAATATTTAGAAAGAGCTAGAGAGCCAGATAATTTCTGTCTAGTTCTACCCACTTCTTTTCATCTATCACAGCTGTTTTTCTTAATCGTTTAAGGAAAGGAATGACTCCAACTTCTGGATTTTATTCTCCTTTTTCCTTTCTAAAGAAAATTTAATATTTGAAGGGAACATGAATTAAAAATCACTAGTATATTTCTTTCCAGCCATTGAGAAATTATTTACCAGTTCTTCCATCAAAATAGTTCATCTTAATAGTTATTGTTTACATAATTGTATATTTTGCTTTCAGTTAATAGAGAAAGTTGAAGTACTTTGGTAATTTAAAAGCTTTTGTTTTTAACTTGTTTAGCACATTATATTGTTTATTTGAATAAAAACCCACAATCCTTGTATGCTATTTTATGTCAGACTTAATAACAGAGAGGGAAAGTATATTTGTCATACCAGTATGTTTATGAGAAGATGTGACAGAAAAATATTTTAGGACATGTTCTCTTATGTTTTTTTAAGAGTGATTATTGTTTGCCAGCTTTAGAATCTGTCAACAGGCAAACCAGAGTGTAGATGGATTTAAAAGTATAGTTATGAGACAATATAAATAGAACATCACATAAAATGTCAATCTGAAACCCCTTTTGTAATTTTAATCTAAGTCATTTGAAACAAAGTTTATTTGGTAAAAATAACATACTTCTTGGTTAGCATGTAGGGTAATTTGCAAAAATAAAACCAGTATATTAAGATAGCTTAGATTTACAAGTTATTATTTTAATTTATCTGCCTGTGATATCTAGACCTAACAGATTAAGTATTTTGCCTCATCATAAATTTATATAAAACTTACAAAAATAAGGAATTTTACAAAACCTTTTTAATCTCTTTAGAAACACTGCTTTCTTAAACCGTTGGATTAGGCTGATTTTTAAAGTTTTTACTTACTTGATAGTACCTGTTGCCTTTCAGTTTTGAGATGCTGCTAGGCATTGGGTTTTCAAAACCTTGTAAATCTAATTGTTAAATTTTGTTCTAATTATTTCTTTCTGATAAATGTACTCCAAGAAGAAAAACAAGACAATTTTCCTTTATTTATTTTTGATTATTTTGTTGAGGTCTTATTGGCTTAAAACGTTGTGTAAATTTCAGGTGTACATTATTATATAGATGGTTTTCCTTTTTTTTTAAGCAAATGCTTGATATTTTAATTCTGCTTTGAGGACATAAGATTAGTTTTTCTCGTGTTCACTAACAAAATAATGTAATACAGTAGACTCTGATACAAATTGTAATAGTGAAAGTGTTTTAGATTGGTAAGCGTATAGCTTATGCTTTCATAAGCATCAGCAAAGCAATACTGAATAGTTGCCATTAGGATTAGACTTTTGTCTTCATTTTTTTCAGTCTGCTGTGACCTTTGTATTAATTTATCATCCATAAAATTGTGTAATGTGAGTACATATGCCTATTTACAACACTGATGTTTTTATGTGACACTTTTGTGAAATCTTTCTAAATAAGATATTTATTCCATTTAGAATAAACCCTCTTTACCTGAAGCAATCTGGATTCATAATCGGTACAGTGGTCAAAAAAGAGCCTTACTAGAGCCCTAAGTATAAAAATTGATACACATGGCCTTAAAAATTTTAAGCATACACTTTACATTTATTCACCACTCTTGTGATATAGGGTCATTGTTTATTTCTAAATAGGAGTCTCCCTTCTTGTATAAGCCATACCTATAATCTTGGTTTCTTTAAGGACAAATTTCCAGTTGATTTCTTTAAAGAAAAGTTAAACTAGACTCTTGTGAAGCAATGTAATTGGCTAATCTTTAGAGCTTTTTATGATTTCCCCCAGTCTTTTAACTGACTGACTGACATCTAGTCAACAGCATTTTTAGGAACTCTTTTATTGAGCTTTCCAAAGCATCTACTTGGTTTTCATAGAAACGACTCTCATTTTCTACTCACTTTTCATCTTTTTAATGTAATATTTAATTTAATCATATAGTCACAATAACAAGTATCATTGACACAAACAGGTTTAAGAGCTAACACAACCAGGTCATATAAACATACAGTAAGTTAGTTAAGCAGATATCAGTTGAGTTTTACTTCTGTGTGTGAATCCTTTGAATTTCATGAAGAGTTCATTAAAAGTATATAGCTATTGGATGAGAAGGAGGGTCTAAACTAAAAGTGGGAGATCAGAGACTTCCAGCAAATGGCCTTCACACTAGCAGAATCTCTACCCAAATTTTGTCCTTATTGTATCAACAGCTCTTCATCTCCAACTTTTATCCTCCCATTCTTCCTTAAATACCCATTCTTTTATTACACTTCCCATTCATATATGGTTATCCGGTAGGATTTGGAAAAGTGGCAGTTCTGGTTCAGCTTATGCTCCTAAGTTCAGTATTTTTTTACTTAGTATCTAAGATAGCTGGGAAAGCTTCTTATTGCCTGATTAGTTTGCCTAAATTATTTTCTATCCTCCTCCTGTCCCCAAAAAATTCACAAATGAGAATAGTTATATCAGTATTTGATGTATAAAGCTTCATCTGGTTATATGTTTAGAAAAAACAGTTTAGCTGATTTAATAAAAATTTATTAAACATATCAGAACAAGGCACTATAAGAGGCTATAGAGATGAATATGCCTTCTAGGACCTTAGAGTCAGGTAGAGCTTACAACACATGAATTAAAATAGTTATACAATGTGGTATAATAATAATACAGTATGGTATATAAGCTTCACATGTGCAGTATAAACAATGACTTCTGTAGATGTTCAGAGAAGTAAGATTGTCTCTATTTAGGATGACCAAGGAAAGCTAAAAAAAAGGAGCCACTTGAACTGAGCCTTGAAAGATGACTAGACCCCATTGTACAACTGCTTATTTTAAAAAAACGATATCGCATAGCACTACCATCATCTAAGACTATATCCTAGGTCTCCAGGCTCTGTATATAGCCATTTAGGAGTTTCTACTGTAATAGATAAATCTGATATGACAAATTTATAATGGATGTTTAGACAGAATAAAGTTTATTGATAAGACAATGAAGTATTCCCATCATGCACATCTGTCCAAGATATGTATATATTGTTACGACTGGAAGAGTTAGAGTACATAATGGGCAGAAAGCATTCAAAGTGGTTCTGTGATCAGGCTGGGTAGAGGTAAAAGGATATCTTTCATAGTTCCCCTTGCTTTTTGAGAAGGTCCTTATCACTTCCAGCACTGGGTTTTATTCCTTTCCTTTCCTCTGAGAAAATATTGGGAGAATTATAAGAATTGGTAGCTTAGAAGAATGAGGCCAAAGAACTAGAAACTATTATACATGATACATGTAAAGTATTTGATAATGTTACATTAATATCAAACATTTCCCAGATGGAAAATATCCAATGAAAGGATGTATGGATATTAGTATATTTAGCAAAATCTCTGCCCCATATCATTCATTTACCCACATTTGCAGAAAAGTAAAAAGTCAAATGAGAAACCAAAGAAAAAGAATCTGGAGAGTGTTTGTAAATTGATGAATAGATGGAAGCTTAGTGTGTGCACAGAGAGATGAGAGAACATTAGAGAAGAGTAAAATGCAAGACTATGAATAGAAACTGGGGAAACTTGAGAAAATGTGTTTAGATAGCTAAGAAAGCAAGTGGAATGGTCAACAGAGGACATGGAATATGAATTAGAATGAAACAGGGAACTTGAACTATATCAAGAGAGGCACTGTGTGCTTTGAAGCTAGAATTTAATATTAACATTAAAAGCATAGCCCTAATGACACTTTTGTATCTTACCGGTCTGTTTCTGTTCTCATGGTAGTTTTGAAGGGAGTACATTCTCTTGGAATCTGACCAAACCAGTCATCTCTGTTGGCTATATTCAGACTATAATGCCAAGAAATTTTTCTAACCTCCAAAATGCCCTTCTTGGATATTTTTAAATTGATCATATATGCTCTGAAACATTCATAGCCGTGAAAGTCGCAAACAATTCATGAAATATAACCAATACTACGTGCATATTTTCAGTTTAACTCTTTTAACTTAGTTTTTGTCACTGCCTATTTGTGTTGGAGCCCATAATAATTTAGATTGTTAATACTATCAATTTCTCATACAAAATCACTAAGTGCCAAATATCCCAAGTGATTGCCAAAGTAAATCATAGTTTGTTCATAGTTCTCTACATTTTCTGAGATGAAACAGATCTTGAGTATTCAGAACTTA